GGTGTTTTGAATCCTCGTGGTCCCAACAGCGGAAGGGTACCAGGGACGGGTAAGCCTTTTACGAGATCACCGAGTGTTCAACACTCGGCTGGAAGAAATAAAAGGGAGGCAATTCAAGCACTCCCAGTCGTGCAAATAGGCAACAATAAGCCGTCACGTAAAACCTCCCGATAATAATCGGCCAATACACAAAGTCTCTTGGCCTTGCCGGATGAACCCTCGCTACAGAGCTTTGAGTTCACCGACAGGCATAACACACTCAAACAAACTTGACCTGACGCTTACCTTGAAGCCGGACGTCGCTCTGTGTGCTTGAGTGGACATTCTGTTCTGTATTTAAGCTTACCCTTTCGGGTCTATTCCTAATAAGAAGTCCTAATCAAGTATACAAATATCAAGTGAACAATGATCCGTTATGGATCTTCTTGCATGCCAAGCGTCGTCTGCACTGTCGCATGAGCATCTTTAACGGTCCGCGCCCTGTCCCAGACGGTTAGCGTGTCTTCCAAAGGTCGCTGAGTCTTCCGCGAACTCATCCCAACCGCCACTGAGGGTTCGTACCGTAGATGGTCCGCTGAATGCGAATCCGGCCAGTCCATTATTAATAATAAGGACAGCCTGGATTCAGTGACATAGGGCCGTATCCGATACTTGTTGAAAACTCGGAGGTGACGCCGTCGAGTCCCTTGCACCTTGGCGTCTCCGTACATCACCCGACCGAGGGTTCGTCGCTTGAACAACTTGGGCGGTGTCACGTCTTTGTCGACGGGTGATAATCCGCAACCACGGAGAAATCACTACACCACAGTTGTCGCGTGATCCATCTCCACGGTTCGACTGTTCTCGTTGGTTGTACGGTCGCGGAGGTCGGTTCGCTGAGTTTCCCCAACCTCGATTCGATCCATTCTGGTCTCCCGCCGAGTTCTCTCGGCGGTCCGGTGTATTTCCTTTATCATTGGAAACGCCGGCGTCTATGTAGTCGTCGTCTTCCGCTGAGTCGTGTCCTCCGGACTGGTCCTCATCATCCCATTCGTCTTCGGAGTTGTACGGACTCGGCGGGTTCTGATCGATGAGTTCCTCCCCGTCGGAGTCAGCGTCAACGACAGTGACTCGGCGGTCGCGGTTTTCTTCCTTGCGACTGCGCTTCTCATATCGACGTCCATCTCGGCGTTCATCTCGGCGGCTCTGATCCTTCCGCTTGTCATCTCGGCCTCGTGCGATCACGAGTCGGTCGCGTTTGCTTCTTGCGCTTCTCGCCGAGGATCCGACGATTTGATTATCTGTTCCACCTTACTGATGGTCTCCCAGCTGCCAGGGGTACATCAAATCCATCACATCGTCATCACCACAATGCAGCAAGGAAGTGTTCGACATGGTCAGCCGCGTCGGCTCCAACCCTTCTCGTACTGGATCTATGGCTGTCCGAGCATACCCCGTTGAGTCGGATCAGGAAGTCGCAGATCGGTTCGTTGACTTTACGTCTCGCCGAGTATTAACGAGTGCGGGCGGATTGATCGAACTGTGAGCAATAATAATCCAGGAGCGCCTCGCTGAGTAGTTTCCAACGTCGCTGAGTAGTTTCCAACGTCGCTGAGTCTTCTTCGGCAGCTGCCTGTACCAACTCTTCGCCGCGCGTCCCAAGCATAGCGAGAAAGGCTCGCACCATGCACTTTAAGGCATCCTGGTGCTCTTCATCTCGTAGATGAAACGCTTGAGCCACTGGAGCGACGCGTCAGAGCGGTAGCGCTTTCCTTCGAACTCGGCGATTTTGTCGAGCGAGGCGTGGGCTCGGACTTCTAGGTACTGCGTCGAGTCCTCTTCAGCCGCGTCAAAGCTCAAGTTTCGGATGTAGTCCTTCACGGTTTCTTCATGGTTACCTCTCACGTCGAAGGCGTCGTCGTCTTCTTCATCCTCCTCGTAAGCTTCAGCCTCGTCTGCAGCGTCATACAACGACCAACATTCCGCTGTCCACGACTCGGCGCTCGCTGAGTCGGGTTTAGCTTCATTGGAGTCAGCATGTGGGAGTCTTCAAAGTAAGGAGTCCCTTGCGTAGCGCGGAACACTTCACGTCTCTTCGTCTCCGGGGTCTTCGGCAAAGGGATCTTGCTTGGGTCTTCGCCGAGTGGTTTGAACTCGGCTACTCGGCTGTATACCTTCTTCGTCCCACCAGGGGCCTTCTCCAGTCCAAACGCCGCTCTCAACTTCTTCTTCCATTGCCAGAGCTCAGCTCCGCCACGGGTCAGACTCCAGTCGGACAGGATGAGGCTGTTTGGTCGGCTGTTGCACCGATAGCCCATCGCCTTTAACAGCAACACAGTTTCTTCCACCAACTGATTGATGTTGGCTGCACGCACCGGCTGAGTTAACTCGGGACCCAACATCGGCCACTTCGCCTGCGCCATCGCCACAGGCGCGAACATCATCATCCATTCCGATCTCGTTCTCATCTCCTCGCCGAGTCGAGCCAACACTTTATTGGCGCTCGGCGTATCGGCGTTCCTCGTCGCTTTCGGAATAAGGGGCGGACGGTCCCCTTGAGCAACACCATGTTCTTCTTCATCTTCTTCATCGTCCGCACCTTCGTCAACCTCGGCGGATAAGTTACGCTCGACAGGACGTGGGGCTCCCATGCGTCCCACCTGCAGCGTCAACTCTTCCACCTCGCCAAGTAGCTCGGCGGTAGTCTTCGTTTCTTCCGAGCTCAGCGGTCTCGGCCTTCTCTTCATACTCTCCTTCACTTGCATCTCCGTCTCGCTCTCCTGATCTTGGGCCATCCTCGTCGAACTGGACGGTTCGTCCCACCTCCATCGTCATAGCGATGAGTCGTAGATCGCCGGGTCCGACCCGCGAGAGGCGATCCTCCAGCCGTCGCTGGGCTTCCGTCGCTCGGAGTTGCTGATCCCTTGACCATCTTCACTCTTCCCTTTCTCTTCTCTTCCTCTTAACTTGGTTAGCTGGCACCTATAAAAACAAGCACACACTCCTGTTCCCGGGTCGCGGCACCAGTTGTGGTGTAGTAGAACACACAAATACCGTCAGATGTGGATTCCTTACACAAACCACAACGTATCGCCGAGTTAAGTCGGCGGTTGTATGGCCTGCGCAGAGGGTGGTCCCCTCGCAGTTCGGCCCTTCAGGGACAGACGAGTGGCTCACTTGCACTCCGTTCCGACTAACCAAGTCAGATCACTTCCGAGGCTCCGCCGAGTTTGGCTCGGCAGAGCTCGTTCACAACCCTGTGCCCTCCACCAAAGGATGGACGACGGCGCGCGAGCGCTCTTACAGGTCACCGAGCGCAGAGGCTGATCAGCTAGAAGTGTTACGGCACCCGGGCTATCCGACGTACCGGCCCGCTGAGTATGCGGGACTTTCTTTCGCGCGTAGCGAGACTTTGTCCTACCCGGACCGACCTAATCTCTTGGCGCTACCAGTCAATACCCTACAAGCTATGCCTCTCGAGTATTGACGGCAGGCATAATTCAGCCCTATGCAGGGACTTACCGGGAAAAGTGTACACGTGTCTTGGACTAGATAAAATTCTGCTCTGTTATCTTCTGGGAGCCTTTTCAGCTCCTCCCATTTAATCCTATGTTTCTCATACAAATATCTAATGAAATGTAGTCGTTTCGGATCTCTACCGACTCTTCACGACAGATCGCCGAGTACTTACCGTGATCCTTTGCTCCTAAGCTCTGGGTTATCAGACCGAGCCGATTCTTGACCTAAAGTAGGTTGGCGTATGGTCGAATCTGGAAATCCTACACCACACAGCCCTTCTGGGATGCAAGTACTAGTACGGTGGCGTGCATCGTGAACACAAGTAAACTCGTAGGGTATATGCTGCTGTAATGCAGTTTATAATCATCAGTACACTTCTTTTGCAGCCAATAGTTTATCTCTTCAAATATTTTTTCAAGACATAATATCTTATTTCTGCTAGTTGGCCGTATCATTCCAATGATATTATCGGAATGCCTGATCTGGCGTCTTGCTCAGACGCCCCTGAGAAGCATTAAAGCTCGGGCATTTGCTCACAAACACAGAAAATGCTTGCAAAAAGTCGCGTATTGTACGCTGTACCGGCAGTTTGCGGAAGCATGTGTGAGAAACAAACAGCTGTGCGCGGCCGGTAGACACCAGCCATAAAAGTTGATATGATGAAAGGACTCTTCTATATTGTCTATCTTTCTGTTGAAGAATTGCCACTACCACCGAGAGTTCCTAAGGTGTACTGTGCAAATTCGGTCACTGAGCAATACTTTCGCATGTTCACAACTTTTTGTCACCGTTGATCTGAAGCAGTCGCCATACCATTCTTCATCAAGTAGGAGGGTGTTCTCAGCAAATTTGGCAACAAAAGAAAATAAGAAACAGTTGCAAAAAGGATCTGCGGGAAGCCCAAGAAAAGCGGTTTGTGCTGCCGACACAGCTTATGTGGGCCAGATATATTTATCTAAAAAATTGTACTCAAATAATTTTTGTTCTCTCAAATTTGTCCAGTAAATCCAGGCACAAGTTGTCCAGAAGTGTTTGTACATGTATCATTGAGGAAAGACTTGATATAAATTAAATTTTACCTATAAAAACTTTGTATTTGCGTTCCCTCCAATAAAAATTATTTTATAAACTGTACTTGTACCGTTATTTATTGTACAGTACCTTAGAATAAAATCAATCAAAGCGACAAATTAAAAAGCCTGCAGATCCGCAAGCGCAATCCAAGGACTGGATTCCAAGCAGCAACTTCAACGAAAAGATGTGAAGTCTTCAGTGAAGACTCTTCACTGAAGACTCTTCAGATCTCTCGCTTGCCAATCCGTCGTACTTTTCACTGAAGTACCGGTACGTACATGTACTGTTCGTGTCGACTCGGCGGCGTCGTCACTCAGCCGGAAGACAAGACGTCAAGGACAATCATGTTAGGATTTACTTGTGCAGTAGCTGCGATCGTTCGCTACATGTACGACCAAAATATGGCTGCGTTATCCTTTTTTATTCTACCGTCAGCACCTTCAGCATGTTAGTGGAGCCTGAGCGAGCTTCCACCATACCGTGGAGGGCAACAACATTGTCGCCAGGCTTGACCCAACCGAGCTGTTTACCCAGATCCGTCGCACGGTACAGGATCGAGTCCGTGCCGATCATGGAGCCCATGCAACGAGACCTCACGCCCTTGTAGAAGCCCTCAGCTTGGCGAGCGCTACCAGCCATTGCCGCACAGGCATTGATGGGCGGAACTTAGACACCAGACGCGCTGTGCTTCCTGATTCCGTCAGCACCACAATCATCTTGGCCTTGATGTCAATTGCAGTCTTCACAGCCGACGACGCGATAGCCTCCTGAGTGGACATGGGGCCATAAGTGTCCAACACGGCATTGCGCAGCGACTGGTACACGTCATCGTAGTGGATGGCTCCTTCAGCCTGCAGACAGATGTTGGACATCATCGTCACGGCTTCCGTCGGGTAGTCACCGTTCGCAGTCTCCCCCGACAGCATCACAGCGTCCGTACCGTCAAGTACAGCGTTGGCCACATCCGTACATTCGGCACGGGTCGGTCGGGGAGCATTAATCATCGACTCCAGCATCTGCGTGGCAGTCACTACGGGTTTGCCAGCGATGTTGGCCTTACGGATCATCATCTTCTGCGCCAGGAACACCTTCTCAGGCGGGATTTCCATGCCCAGATCACCACGAGCAACCATGATACCGTCCGTCTTGGCCAGTATCTCGTCGAAATTCTCCAGACCTTCGTGGGACTCGATTTTAGCAATGATCTTGATGCCACGGCCACGGGGGCCAAGCACCTTACGGATGTTGTCGATATCGTGGCCAGTACGTACAAACGACGCCGAGATGTAGTCAACGCCGTGCATGAGGCCGAAGTTAATGAGATCGTCCTCGTCCTTCTCCGTGAGTGTGGGCAGTAGCACCTTGCAGCCAGGCAAGTTCATGTTCTTACGCTCACCGAGTGTCGCGGTGTTGTTGGCACGGCAAACGATGCTGTCGTCCTTGATTTCGAGCACAGTGAGTACCAAAGAACCATCGGCCACCAGTACCGAGCCACCGACGCTAACGGACTGCGGAAGCTCCGGGTAGGAGCAGGCGATCTTGGTCTCGTCACCGAGGAACTCGTAATCAGTGGTAAGCTCAAGGACGGAATCTTTCTGGATCGTTACCTTGTCTTTGTTGGCAAGGAAACCAGTGCGGATCTCGGGTCCCTTGGTGTCCAGCATAACGGCCACATTCTTGTGCGGGCGCGAGGCCAACGCACCACGGAGGCGATTGAGCGTGTCGGCGTGGCTGACGTGGTCGCCGTGCGAGAAGTTGAAGCGCGCCACGTTCATGCCGGCGTCGATGAGCTCGCCGATGCCGTCCTGGGACCAGCAGGCCGGGCCGAGTGTGCAGAAGATCTTGGTCTTGCGCTCTACACCTTCGGTACTACGCATGATGTTCTCGAGCTCAACGGCCTGCTGGCTAAGTCCGATGGCTCCCGACATGAAGGTTTCTTGTTGCTTCTTTGGCTTAATGACAATGGGGGGATACTTGTACCGGTACCGGTACATTTTGCCTTTGGCCTGATTCGTGTTTTTGTGACATTATTTATGATGCCATTTGCGAATGAGAGCTGTCCGACAAAAGCAGTCTCATTTTTGAGAGTCAACAAATTAAAAAACGGGACTTCCCAAATACGAGCCACGCCGCCGTCCGCATCGCCGAGAGACTTGATCTTGAGATGTGGGGGGTGATAGCGCTGGAGTGTACCCAACCTTTACACAAAAACTTCACGGAATAATCAGCATGTCCGCTAAGTCCGAATGTAGCCATGTCAAGTTGAAGAAAAGGATTCGATTTACGATACCATTACCTGAAGCGACCAGAGACGGGGCAGAGACCAAATAACACGTAAATGGTCTACATATATGAGGATTTCAAAGCTACAGGACTCAATTGCGCGCTCACTCGACGTAGGACCTTCAGCAGATTCGTTGAGCCAGACTTGGCCTCCTGGATACCATGCACGGCAACCACGGCATCGCCCTTTTTCAGCCAGCCTAGATCCTTGCCGGTTTCCGTGGCGCGATACAGGATCGAGTCCGGGCCGATCATAGAGCCCACGCAACGTGACACAACACCCTTGACGAAGCCCTCCGTCTGACGGGCAGTCTGCTCCAGCGCCGTCAGAACCAACACCGGCATCTCAGGACGGTACTTGGCAACCAGGCGGGCCGTATTGCCCGTCTCCGTCAGCACCACCAGCATCTTCGCGTTGATATCGATGGCCGTCTTCACAGCCGACGAAGCAACAGCCTCAGCCGTCTCCATCGGACCATTTACCTCCAGCACTGCATTTCGCAGTGACTGATACACATCGTTGTAGTGGATAGCAGTCTCTGCCTGCAGGCACGTAGCGGACATCACCTCGACAGCCTGCTTAGGGTAGTCGCCGTTGGCACTCTCACCCGAAAGCATCACAGCGTCAGTGCCGTCAAGCACGGCGTTGGCCACATCCGTGCACTCGGCACGGGTCGGTCGCGGGGCCTTGATCATCGACTCCAGCATCTGTGTGGCGGTCACCACAGGTTTACCAGCCAGGTTGGCCTTGCGGATCATCATCTTCTGCGCGAGGAACACCGTCTCGGGAGGGATCTCCATGCCCAGATCACCACGAGCAACCATGATGCCGTCCGTCTTGGCCAGGATCTCGTCGAAGTTTTCCATGCCCTCGTGCGACTCAATCTTCGAGATGATCTTGATGCCACGGCCACGGCGGCCAAGCACCTTTCGGATGTTGTCAACATCCTGGCCAGTGCGGACAAATGAAGCGGCGATGTAGTCAATGCCGTGCACCAGGCCGAAGTTAATGAGGTCGTCCTCGTCCTTCTCAGTCAGAGTCGGTAGTAGCACCTTGCACCCGGGGAGGTTCATGTTCTTGCGCTCGCCCAGAGTGGCCGTGTTGTTAGCACGACAAACGATACCATTGTCCTTGATCTCCGTGACCGTCAGCACCAGCGAACCATCGGCCACCAGCACCGAACCGCCAACCTTCACGGACTCTGGCAGCTGCGGGTATGAGCATGCGATCTTGGTCTCGTCACCGAGGAACTCGTAGTCCGTCGTCAGCTCGATCAGCGAGTCTTTCTGGATCGTCACCTTATCCTTGTTGGCCAGGAACCCCGTGCGGATCTCAGGGCCCTTTGTGTCCAGCAATGGCCACGTTCTTATTGGGACGCTTGCCCAACGCACCACGCAGGCGGTTCAGGCAGGACAAGTGGCTGGCGTGGTCACCGTGCGAAAAGTTGAAGCGGGCCACGTTCATGCCGGCATCAATGAGCTCCAGCAGACCCTCCTCCGACCAGCAGGCAGGGCCCAGCGTACAGAAGATCTTGGTCTTGCGCTGTACACCCTCGACGCAACAAGGTGTTCTAAAGTTCAAAGGCAGAGAATACTACAATGCTACGATCAACCAGTGGGTTGTACCGTACAACCCGTACTTATCCCAGAAGTACAACTGCCACATCAATGTGGAAGTGTGCACAGATATAACTGCGGTTAAATACCTGTACAAGTATGTGTACAAAGGACCCGACATGGCTATACTCACTGTGGAAGAAGTCCGAGGAGGTCAGCAGATTGCGCGTCGAGAACCAAATGAGATTCTACGTTTCTTGAGCGCCCGTTACATTTCTCCGGTGGAAGCTTGCATGCGCCTGCTCGATTTCACGATTCAGGGGAAAACCCATGCGGTGACACAGCTGACGGTTCATCTCGAGTCAGGGCAGACGGTTTGCTTCCGCGAAACGGAAAACCCGGAGGCGGTTTTGGAACGTGGTAGTCACACGATGCTGACCAGATTCTTTGAGTTGTGTGCGAGTGAAGAACCTCAGAATCATATTGCCAGAACGATGTTGTATCAGGACATCCCTAAAGAGTTCTGCTGGAAAGCGCCGGAGAAAGGGCAACCGAAAAGGTGGGTTCGCAGGAAACAGTATCAAGCTGCGGTTGGTCGCATGATTCATGTGTCTCCTCGAGACATGGAGCGGTTCTATCTTCGGCTACTGCTCTGTCAGCGTAGAGGTCCAACATCGTTTGAAGACTTGAGAACGGTTAACGGGATTGTCTGCCCCACATTCCAAATTGCGGCGCGGGAAGCTGGCTACTTGGAGAATGATAACGAGTGGGTTTCGTGTTTGAGGGAGGCAGCTGAGTTCCAAATGCCGTATCAGCTACGCCAGCTCTTCGTCACCATTCTGGTGTATTCAGCTCCAGCAAATGTTGGTGTTCTATGGGATCGGTTTTTCGCGGATCTTTCCCAAGACTTCGCGCGCAAACATCAGGCTTTGATGGACCCCTTTAAGTCGGCGTTGGTCGAATTTGAAACGCTGATGAGCATTCAAGAACTACTTCAAGCGAGTGGGTATGCGGTAGCTGACTTCGACGAGCTTCCTCAGTTGGGGTCGTTCCCAACATTGATTCGTGAAGCGCTTCGCCAAAACGGATTACTACGACGTGAGCTGACTGGATACGACGCGTCATCTTTGGAGGCAATTGTAAGCACAGAAGATCAGCTAAACGAAAGTCAGCGGGTGGTTTACGACCAGATTATTGAAGCGGTTGAATGCCCGGAGGAAGGCAAGAAGTTATTTTTTGTCGATGGCCCGGGTGGTACTGGAAAATCTACACTGCTTCGAAACATACTGGCCAAAGTCAGACTCTCGGGGAAAATCGCCATCGCTGTGGCGTCTAGCGGTATTGCCTCGCTCTTGCTCATGGGTGGTAGGACAGCTCATTCTACATTCAAGATCCCTTTGAAATTGAACGAGAGCTCGACGTGCGGTATCAGGAAGAACTCCCATATTCAGGGGTTGATCAAACATGCAAGTTTAATTATTTGGGACGAAGCACCTATGGCCCATCGCCACGCATTCGAGGCAGTAGACAGAACACTGCGGGACATACTTGACAACGATACCGAGCCTTTTGGGGGGAAAGTGTTTGTACTTTCGGGAGATTTCTGCCAGATTCTCCCGGTCGTTAAGAATGGAACACCCGTAGAGACAATTGACGCTTGCCTCAAGTCGTCTAGGCTGTGGCCCCAATTCCAGACGTTCCGTCTTACGGAAAACATGCGAGTGCGCACAGCTGATACTGCAGACACGGCTGAGGAAATGGCTGCATTCTCCGAGTTCCTGCTGCAAGTCGGGGAGGGAAGGCATGACGTAACTCCTTCCCTAGGAAGAGATTACATGAAGATCCCGCGCGATATGCTGATTGAGAATCCACCTGTGCCTGAGGATGAGGACCAGGAAATTCGTCCTGGTGTTATTCCAAGAGGCATGGATCGGATCATCGACGAGATGTATGGCGAGATTAACAACCCCGAAGTTGCTACCGATGAATATTTCGCTAACCGTACGATCCTCACGACCACGAACGCAATCGTGCACCGCATCAATGAAGCGGTGACCGCTCGATTAACTGGACAGGCGCGGGAATACATGTCTTCCGATTCTGTACAAGACGACGGTGACGGCAATTTCTTCGAGCAGGAGGTACTCCACTCGATGAATATCAGTGGAGCGCCTCCCCACAAGTTGACCCTCAAGGTAGGAATGCCTATCATGATGATGCGGAACCTGAATCCAGATCTAGGGCTGTGCAACGGAACACGGCTTCGAATTGTGGCCCTCAAGCCACATGTCATCCACGCCACAATCATGACAGGTGAGCGACAAGGGCAACATGTGTTGATTCCCCGCATTGTTTTCATCAGTGACGGAGATATTCGGAGCTTTCCGTTTCATTTGAGACGCAAGCAGTTTCCTGTCCAACCGGCCTTTGCGATGACGATTAACAAGGCGCAAGGCCAAACGGTGCAGTACTTGGGGCTGTATCTTGCTACGCCTTGCTTCTCCCACGGGCAGCTGTACGTTGCGATGTCGCGAGTCACTTCAAGATCAAGATTCAAGGCGCTGGTCGAGTACCCAAAGCTGGAGGAGGAGGATGGGGTCTACGCCCAGAACATTGTCTACAGGCAGATCTTTGGTTCGGAGTAGGAATGTTCAATTTCAAATGCATTTAATACATCACGTTTACATAAATCATGTTTACGCCGGAGCGCAGCGAAGGCGTGAGCCAATTTCCCCTGGGACTACAGCCTGCCACCTCCGCCGCGTAGCGGCGGCGAACGGCTAGTCTTACCCCTCTAGTGGAGTGTGTTGTCTGGCCGTCCGTACGTCCGTCCGCGGCCAGGGTTAATTCATGTAACGCAAATGCGGGCGTTCTACTGGCTGCCGAGCGCAGCGAAGGCGGCCTCGATTCGCTAAAAAGCTGCCGAGCGCAGCGAAGGCGGCCCCCATTGGCTAAAACAGACATTATGTGCTGTACTTACTGTATGTGGACTACACATCGTACTTAACGAACTTTCATTTTGCTCTCATTTTCAGCTGCGGTTCGCAAGGCCACGCAAAGGGCGCTGCCTGTGTGTGCATTAGTTAGCATTAGTAGAAGGCGCCGATGAGCACACACGTACTATATCGTCGTAGGAGCTGTTACAATTTTTTGTAGGCCCTGGTGACTTATATTTAGGCCTCAATCGAAACTTTAGTACTTATTGGATATAGAATGATGTTTTAGGCTTCGTAGTACTTTTCTAATGAGTTTAATTTCAATACTGTTTTGCGTAGTACTATTTTAAATACAATTCATTTTTTACTTGCAGTTATTTGTAGTAGTAGTACACATAATTGCTATATCAACGTTTGATAATAAATAACAAATATATTACTATAAATAATAATGTGAAAACTTTAAATACGACTATTGTGGCTTGCCTCCGGGAAAAAGTGTCACCTTCCTTTGTATTTGCGCACGTAGTGTGCGACCTGAAGATATTGTGCGAGTTTTCCAACAATATATGTAGCGTACATCAAACGAAATGGAAACAGCGTTTGTGATTAAGTTAGCGCGGAGGCACGTGACTCAGCAAGAACACGAAACACGTAAGAACACCGACCCACACTATGTAGACGATGAATTAAAAAAGCAACACGAAGCACGGAAGGCCATGGACAACGATAGAAGTCTTAGCCGATGCAAACCACGAAGTTGTATGCGTAGCGTGAAAGACGGAAGTGCACGCAGCTATGAAAAGGACAGAGGGACAAGAATATGACGGGAGCGTACAGACCACGGAAGGGAAATAGATATACAGACACCCCAGCATGCTAAAAAGGGTGGCTACGGAAGAGTACGCACGTAGCGGTAAGAGTGCATGGACAGCAACTCTCCCATAGCACCACGGAAGAGCACGGAGTACGGTCGCCGGACCAGGCATGAAGCGGCGGGAATCTGAAAACGGGAAGTCATCGAGCATTAGAGCACGTTATCAGGGTAGAACCGGATCTCACCAAGCCAGGGAGCACGATACTACAGTAACTAGCGATTGCATTGACGAAAGACCAACCGCGACACTACAAGTTAGCACGATAGCATGGACTGTGCCACTAAGCCATGGGAGAACGCAGTCGCGGAGCTATAGACGTAAAATCACCGTGCCGCGGAGAACGATACCAGTGTTGAACCTGAGCTTACCGAGCCACGGAGGACAGTACTACATTAGAACTAGATTGCACGAACGGCGGGCCAGCCACGAAATAAACGGGGAGGTGGGCGCTTGGGGTGACCACGACTGCACACTGTGGAGCACGTTGCCATTGTAGAACACGATAACACGGACAACGCAGATACACTACGTGACCACAATACCATAGACAGCATTACCACACCGTGATTGCACGATAGCGTGATACCGCAGTCGATGGAACCTCACCTGGAGAGCACGATACACGGGCGACGGAACAACACGACTGCATGAAGTCACCAAACCACGGAATAGCACACTTCGGCTAGAGCACCGGCGATGGAAGGCCAACGGTCACGAAATAGTATCTACCACGAAGCCAGTGCAACCCACATAAACGTTTGAGAACAGAGAAAAGTTAGCATTTACGAAAAGGCCGTACTAACGCGCATGAACCCACAAGAGAGAGGACAGAACCGCTGAGCAGCGTGGGCCATGGGTGGGCAGGAACCTCGAAGCCGGGAAGAGCACGAAAGAGCATGGGCCATTGAAGAAAACAACATCCAACCTGTAGTACGGGGTAACGGAAACGTTCCAAACCACGATATTATACGGGGCCGAATGAGACTACGGAAAGGCAAGTGGTTAAATACACGATGCCAAGATCTACGGGGTGAGCCACGCTCTCAAAACACGCGACACCAAGAAGCAATAAACTTCCGGCCACCTCATCTCCA